ATATATATATATTTCGGTGTTTATCATATATATATTAAATATATATATAAACCGTATATATAATATATATTATACTCCAAAATATTTTATTTTACTATTTTACAAATATACAAATTACTTATTATCCCATTGTTTAATCNCTCCTTAAATTGTCCAAAGTGTGTGACCCGTATAGGCACTTATAAAGCTGGCCACAGTATTGGCTCTGCACCAATACTATAAGCAATAAGCGGTATCTAGCAACACATTATTGCCCCCAGATTATAAGTTAAGACGTTTGCACCGTCAAAACCTTTCCACGACTCAGACTCCGTGTAACTGTATCCCTTTGTCTCAATGTCTAAACTTAATGCAAGGGATTAATAAAATCCAACTTGTATCCATTAAGTCATTCACTGATTTATCAAGTCTGACTAATAGGAACAGACGTCATAAAAGCATCTCAGCATGGCCATGCAGTTTCCTCAGTCATGACTTATTAGTGGGCCCCATAAGACATTAATCTCTTTTAAAAAGAGTAGTGACAAATCCTATGTACGTAATCTACGTTTCTGAATACGCGCTGCGGCATACCCAAAACAAAGCCTGTAATCCTTATTTCATATGGCTTAGGACAATGCATCAAAGTATGCGGGTTCACATATGCATAAAATGTAATACTTCAAGTCGAAGGATAGTTACACCTGTGGTCGCGCTAAAGATGCTTAGAGCATGAACTAAAAGTTCAAGCAACATCTTTAGGATGGGCCAGTCCGGCATCCTATTATCTCCAGATAATATCTTCTCATGTGCGGATGCGAACACACCGTCATTGACTATGAGACTAAGTCAAACATCCAACACACACTAGTCTCACATGCATTAACGATATCCCACTCTCGTTAATACTCGACTATGGACATTTAGATAAATATTTATTTCAAAATGTTAGTCTCATCAGCAGAAGAACACTATCTGATAAACATCTTTTAAATATAAATCTAGGAATATAATATTTGTTTACATTAGCATGAGATGTGTAAACATATTATATCTGCCTATACATGATAGAATAACGATAAACAGTTGGCCATCAGGGCACAACTCCAACAGGCAACACATGGTTGTGGAGATCTTGTGGACTTGGAGCAAGATAGATTCACGAAAAAAAAATTCCATGGTGGTGGTGATATCGGTGGATTGACTGAGGTGAAGCCACGAGGTATTTTTTTCTTCTTTGAGGTTGGCGGTGATCTTGAGGAACAAATCGAGATGGAGCTAAGGTAATTTTTTCTTTGGGGGTAGCGATGATCTCACAGGACAAGTGAGGTGGAGCTACAAAATTTTTGATTATTTAATCAAGGTGGAGTTTGTTGGGAAATTGATTAATAATCAAAAGAAAAGAAAAAAAATAAGGAAGAGGACAAAGAAGAAAAAGAAAATAAAAGAAAGGAACATGCATACGCACTAATGCATGTGGGAGGATGTGTTCTCTCTTGTCTCTTAGTGATGCATGATATGGATGCATGTGATGTGTGGAGATTTTTGGCTATAAAGGGGTTCACATTGCCTAGCTATGTGTGTGTGGGTTTTACACACCACCAATGTAGAGAGAGAAGCATGGGAGGAATTCTACACAAGAATACCACCAGGAAAATCCAAGGGGTCTTGGTGAGTGTGGGTGAGTGTAGGGAGTAACTGGTTTTAGTTACTCGAAAAAATACATCCGTGCATAGGGTGTGGAAAGATCTGTTTATGAGTTTCGGGAATTTAGCCTTGTAAACAGGGGAGAGTTTTTTGTATATTATCCTGAAATAGTGGAAATATAATTTTTTTTCTCATCTATTTTTCTTGTGTTTGTTCTCTCATTTTTCTGGTGTTCTCAATATTTTTCGATATCTTATGCGCTTAAAATCCCAACAATTGGTATCGGAGCTTGGTTGCGCTGGGCAGGAGGGATTTGTAAGCGGTAAAAGGAGAAATTTTGAGTACCCAGGGACTGGTCGGTTTTGGCCAGAAGGCGACCATGTGACTTCAAGAACAAAGTGGATGGCATGAGGACCGGGTACGAAGTGGCATGCTGGCTTTGTGAAGTATGGTGCAGGAACAGGACTTGAGGAGATCGGTGGTCTAGCAGAGTGAAAATTGCGGTTTGTGTCTTGTGTCGAAAGTCTTCCTGGCAGGAAGTGGTCGGGCGGCGTGTCCCGCAGGTATTGTTACGGCGGTGCAAGATGGGCGGATCGAAAAAAGCTTATTGCTAGAGGGGTGGTCTCAGAGAGTGCATGTTAACAAAGGTGAGTTGTCATTTTTTTTAGCTCGGGGTGGAGGGTTAAAACTCTAAGGAGCTAAGGTAGTGACAGTGATCTTGACGGGTTGGTTGAGATGGAGCCACGGGTACAGCGATAACTTGAAACGGTGAGGACACGGTATTGAGAAAGGTGGATCCATGAAGGCAACACATGGTTGTGGAGATCTTGTGGACTTGGAGCAAGATAGATTCACGAAAAAAATTCCATGGTGGTGGTGATATCGGTGGATTGATCGAGGTGGAGCCACGAGGTATTTTTTTCTTCTTTGAGGTTGGCGGTGATCTTGAGGAACAAATCGAGATGGAGCTAAGGTAACTTTTTCTTTGGGGGTAGCGATGATCTCACGGGACAAATGAGGTGGAGCTACAAAATTTTTGATTATTTAATCAAGGTGGAGTTTGTTGGGAAATTTATTAATAATCAAAAGAAAAGAAAAAAATAAGGAAGAGGACAAAGAAGAAAAAGAAAAAGAAAATAAAAGAAAGGAACATGCATACACACTAGAGGTGGCAATCGGATCAACCGGATCGGTTTCGGGTTGGATTTTTTCGGTTCGGATATCTTTCGGTTATATGTTATAATCGGTTCGGTTCGATTCGGATCGGTTAAATTTCGGTTCGGATTTGATTTCGGTTCTATACATTTTTCGGTTCAGTTCGGATTCGAGTCGGTTTAGATACGGTTCGGTTATAAATCGGTTCGGATAAATTTCGGTTCGGATACAATTTCAGTCGGATATATTTCGGTTTCGGGTCTAGTTCGGTTCGGATATATTTCGGTTTCGGATCAAATGTATTTTGGATATATATTATTTTCTAATTAAAATTTAACTATTTGTGTTTCTTTTTATGTTTTATCACATTTATTAATCTATCATCAATTCAATACCTCATATTATTTTATATTTTTTTTAGTTATATTATCTCTACCCTAAATAATCTTCCCTTTTTGACTTTTTAGTCATATTTTACAAATTTGGACTACAAATTATGAAAACATATATATTTAATTATGATATAAATTTAATATAATTAAATTGATTTTAAAATTTAGTTTTGAAATATCAAATTTTTCTCACATCTAATACTCCGTAACATACTTATGTACATAAATGAAAGGATAAAAGATAAATTCAAATAGTCTTATGTTCCATTTGAATACAATGTGGTAAAAATTGAGTAAAATTGGGTGAAATTAAGTGAATTTTATTCAATTGAGTGCAAAATTTGTAAATTATTGAGTATATTTGGTTGAAAATAGAGAAAATTAAATTTAATAAAGTCAAATATACTACGTATATAATTTTACACCTAAATGTAATGGTGTAGATCAAATTTGAAAATGATAACAGCAAAGGCTGCTGCTAGAGAGTGTTTTCAAAATGCTAACACCAACATCTAATTTTATTGGCTAATATTGAGTGAATTGGTTTGAAACTAATCAAATTAACTCTCAAATCAATAAAATTTATTGTAATGAGATGAAATTAGGATAAAATCTAGTTATTCCATACAATTCATCATATATTCCTTTCGTTCCAAAAAGAATATCACATTTCACTATTTAAAAATTACGAAAATTTTATTTATTTGTGCGTTATCATTTATATGTATAACTTATCTTTAATTTCTACATATAACAAATTTAAGACATTAAATTTTGTACTTTTTTTCAAGAAGATAATCAATTTTATGAGGAAATGGGCAAGTAATGTAATTAGTTCAAATGGTAAAATAAAAGTAAAAATTTAAAAATATAATATGCTTATTGAAAGACAAACATAGTTCTGAATTTATCGATTTTAGTTCTAATCGGGTTCGGATATTATCGGTTTCAGATCTAATCGGTTTCGGATTTTATCGGTTTCGGGTATTATCGGGTTCGGATCTATTCGGTTTCGGGTTTAATCGGTTCGGATATTATCGGTTTCGGATCTAATCAGTTTCGGATTTAAATCGGATATGAATTATTTAGTTCGGTTTCGGTTCGATTCGGATCATTTCGGGTTTTCGATTATAGATCACATCGGTTCCAGTTCTGTTTTGCCAGGTCTAATACGCACTAATGCATGTGGGAGGATGTGTTCTCTCTTGTCTCTTAGTGATGCATGATATGGATGCATGTGATGTGTGGAGATTTTTGGCTATAAAGGAGTTCACATTGCCTAGCTATGTGTGTGTGGGTTTTACACACCACCAATGTAGAGAGAGAAGCATGGGAGGAATTCTAAACAAGAATACCACCGGGAAAATCCAAGGGGTCTTGGTGAGTGTGGGTGAGTGTAGGGAGTAACTGGTTTTAGTTACTCGGAAAAATACATCCGGGCATAGGATGTGGAAAGATCTGTTTATGAGTGTCGGTTACATATGCACCCGAAGAACATATTTAGGAAATGTCAAACCAAAAAATGACAGAACAAAGAGAAAGAAATACACTCACTACCTAAGTGAGAGAAGCATTTCAAGAACAACTCCAAACTGGGAGCTATTTAAAATTTGCTCCTAATGAGTAAATTTTAAATAAGTATGTAGGTCGGTCAATATATGTTGTTTCTATATTATAACATCTCAGATCATGTAGAATCAAACAAAAAGTAATTAAACAATCTATATTTAAAACGCAATCTATATCACAATATCACATTTCAACTAAAACATAAACACAAAAGCAATTCAAATATATAGTAAATTAAATATTAACCTAATGCAAAAATATACAAACAAATAATAGTATAATTAAATATTTAAAGTTAAAAAAATTAAAGAAAATACCTTAAAGAAGGCGAGCAAGGCACGCCTGGGGTAGAGGAGGCGAGGGAAAACGACGCAAGACACGGGGCCTAGGGAATGTGGCAGCAGGGCACGAGGCGGCAGCAAGCACGACAACGGCGAGCCTGGGAGTTGACGACGACGAGGCAATAGCAACGGCGAGGCGACGACGATGGTGAGGCTAGGCAACAACGGAGAGAGTGAGGTGGACGAGGGCAAAGTGGAGCAGGGCACGAGGCAGCAGCAAGCACGACGACGACGAGGCTGGGAGTTGACGAGTGTGAGGCTAGGCAACAACGGCGAGGGTGAGGTGGACGAGGGCGAAGTGGACGACTGCGAGGAAGAAGACTGTGATGGCGACAACGAGGCGGAAGACGGGGAGGAGATGGGCAACAACAATGGCGAGGAACACAGCGAGCACGACGAAGAAGGGTTTGGAGGTTTTTTTTTTCAAAATCGCGTAAGGATAAGATAGTATTGGACGTGTTTTAACAGGTTCTTTTGAATCAGTTATTCCTAATAACCAAGTCAAAAGGTTATTTGAATTGGTTATTAGGAACAACCAATTCAAATGCTTATTAGCTTTTTGAATCAGTTATTCCTAATAACCGATTCAAAAGGTTATTTGAATCGGTTATTAGGAATAACCGATCCAAAAAGCTAATAAGCATTTGAATCGGTTATTCCTAATAATCGATTCAAATAACCTTTTGAATTGGTTATTAGGAATAACCTATTCAAATGCTAAGCGGTACGTGAATTTTTTTACCATTTAAATCGTTTGATTTGCTCACCGATGCAAATGGGGGATTTATTTGGTCGTTTTTGTAGTAGTGTTATTTTTCCCCTCAATAACATTTTTGAATACATCTCTTGCTCTAGCAACATGTTCTTGTAAAGCATCCACTTTAGTCCTCAATCTTCATACCATTAAATAATTAAAATGAATGTTTGTTGATACCAAGAAAGAGTTCATAACAAAAATACTTGAAAATTTTTGGAGTTATTTGCAAGTTAAATACTTTCAAAGTAGTTCATATGCATCTATTTAACAATTGAAGTTCATAATTCAGCTTAGAAATCAAGCAAAGCTGTAGATTTTTCTAAATAAAAAAATTAGTTTAGATTTTATTCCAAATCAACACTTCAAGTTCAAAAATCAATATATAAACACAATGTCATGCTTCTACATATGGTCTATAAGCACGATGTATCAATGATAGTTCAACTTTCAAGAACATGATCACTCTGTAAAACAAAAACAACAACTCTTGACAGATTGAAATTACAAGAGGAAAACTCTCATCTGTCTAAATTAGAACTCTTAAAGCTCAAATTTTGTATCATGGATGCTAGGAATTATAACCATTTTCCATATAATATTATATTCCAATAGATTTAAAGCACATCATTGTGAAAATAATAGATGACTATCCACGAAATTTAAGGTAAAGCCAAATCATGATCATTTTAATTATGATACAAATTTATAAATAGTACCACATTCCAATACAAGCACTATCCAATGTTATTAATATAAGTAACACTAAGGTTATTATAGTTTCTAGATTCTAATCAAGTTGTAAATTCAAACTATACGGTTTCAGATATCAGATTTGAGTAAAAACCATAGTACAAAATCTTGTTTAGTTTGGAGTTAAAGCAACATAGAAGTTAAGAGTAAATCTACACTCCTAAGTAAAAATATGAGTAAATCTTCACTTTATAGAGAGGAATACCTTTGATTTGGTCTCTATTATCGCAGAAAATTTCTGCAAAGCTGGGCTTAGCTTTCATAGGCATTTCATTAGTCACCTTGAGTACAGAATTAGTTAGTTCCCTACCTTTTCCATAAGAGCATGAAACTCCAAAGAGATGACATCTTGAGAAGATTCGGAGGTGGTAAAAGACCCTTCACTGTGTTCATCAATCTTGTCTTGAACATCTTAAGTCTACTTTTGAACTAGAATAGCCTCGCGGCTTTTTTTCTTCTACTTTGAAGGGTCTCTATCCACCACAGTCCCCTTAACAATAGAAGAGTTAGCATATGTTTATCTTTGATTAGATTGTGCAACTCTTAAACTTCCTGGAGATTTTAGCTCTACATTTGAACCATCTTCTGCTAGGTTACAAAATGATATAAAGTAAGTCTGACTATATAATTAGAATTTAACATCATATAAGTAGTTTTGGTTTGAAATGACTGATTGGAAGAACTAGGCGATGATATTGAATGAAAAACTCAAAAGCCATACCCAGTGGACACCGGAAAAATTAATGCCTTGTAGGGAGTTAAAACAACATCCCTCAACCATGAACAAAACAAACAAAGACCATTCCAAAACTCGAGCCTCACCAAGAGAAACTAAAACCTACAATAGAAAATAGCCCACCTTTGNAACGGTACACAATTATCAAATTAATGCGGTATTGATGCAATAAACTCTTAAAAATACTTTGTACTCGGCTCCCTGAATTCCACTTTTTTAGTAGCTCACATACACATCACTGTAGTACCTATTCATTCTAATTATCTAAACTTCTATAGCGCAAGAGGCAAGAGCCGAACTCGAACACTAGATGTGGATCATGGGAGTAGCTTGGGCGATTCATGTGCCACTACGCCAACATTCTTTCACATCCTAGTTGTAGATCTTCTTCTCATTTGATTCTTTGCAATCAACAATGCAAAACTTTGATTATTAATATTTATATTTATATACACAAATATATTTTACTTCCTCCGTCCTTAAAAGATTTTCCTCTTTCATTTTTTTGTTGTCCCCAAAAGATGTTTCCTTATCTATTAAAAAACCACTTTTACCTCTTACTTTTTCATACCCTGCCTATCACATCATATCTTTTTACTAATAATATATTAATCACATCTTACTTTTACCCATCACGTCAAGGGTATTTTTGGAAAGTCAACACAAAAATATCTCTCCCTTAATTTTTCAAAAAGTTAATAAGGAAAACCCTTTTAGGGACGAAGGAAGTATAAAATATATGATACTTCAAAACTATATTTTGATGTATCTTTCCCGTAATTAGTTGTCAATGTTTAAAAATATTGACTACAAAAGTCAAAATTGAAACAAAGATATGGGGCAAAAGGAAAAGTAGGTTATTCACGGTGATTTCATAAACTTTTTAAAGTTAGAAAACGATAGATACCCTATAATGCGTATGATCTGAATAAAGTTATGGAAACAAGTTGGTATTAGTGTTAGGATTCTTTAAATTTGGAGCTCTAAGGCCATCTCCAACGCATCAGCCAAAGTCTAAAGAATAGAAGTTATACCTGCTACTGTACCCTTTTTGGTGCTCCAACGGAGCTTCCAAGATTTAGACCACAATCTATTTTAAGTTTTAGAGCCTCCATAAATAGACGGTACTGTAGGTTTGCTAAAATCCACTTGGACCACTGGAAAGAGTCACTTGAGTTCTGGAAATTTGCCGGCGGCCTTCTACGTCGGATTTCTACCTCTCCCGTAACGAGCTGATCGGAAACTTGCCGACCTTAGCAAATCTAGACTTCAATAGGATAGATTTGTTCTTGATGATCTTGACCTAGCATGATTTGAAGCACAGCAAGATCACCGGAAAAAGATGGCAAATCGACGTCTACTTTTTTCCTATGTGAATGGGTAATCAAAGAGATTGCCAGAAAAAGAGGCTTGATTTGGCTTTGGTTTCTCCAAAGTGAAGGTTTGATATGAAAAAATACACTTGATCTGATAAAATAAGGTAGAGAAATAGGAGATGTGGTTGGAGTTCACTTTAAAAATTTAACCTCTAAAGTACTGTACATAGTCTAAAAATACCATATAGCTTCTCATTTTTAACACCTCGGTTGGAGATGCTCTAAGGTGCAGTGTTCTTTTATATTTTGAGCAACATGAGACCCTCAAGTGACCAAATGTGAAAAAAAGCTCACCTTTTTTTCCTAGGCTCATATTTCTTCTTATTTTCAAACCAAATTTTAAAATATTATTATATTTTTATAATCAATATTTATATATAAATAAATATGTTAATGATTAAAGTGCTGTACTTTATATCCTTCTTTACTTTTTTATGTTAGTTCTTGTAAACTTTAAATAGTGCATTCGTCCTATATTAAAATTATATATAATTATATTAAATTTACATGGCATACAATGTATTAAATATTTTACAATATAAATCTAGTAAAATTATCAATATCCAATATTATCTCTATCCCATAGTATTTGTCATGTTTTGACTTTGTGCAGGCAAAATTGATAAATTTTGAATAAAAATTAAATGCCTGAGTAAAATTATACTCCCTCCGTCCCAAAAAGATTTACACCTTTCAAAAAAAGTGTGACTCGTAATCTCCTACCAATTTCTATTGAAAAACCACTTTTACCCCTTACTTTTCAAACCCTACCTATCACATCATACCTTTTTCCTAATAATCTACACATCACATCCTACTTTTACCCATCACATCAAGGGTATTTTTGGAAAGTCAACACAAAATTATCCCTTCCTTAATTTAAACTTTAGTCAAAACGTGTAAATCTTTTTGGGACGGAGGTAGTATTAGATATTGATATAAAACTAAATTTGTTAAATTTATTCTTTAAAATGTTTTTAAAATATAATTTTATCTAATTAGTATAAAATATTTTTTACACTAACAAAATGTGCAGAGGCGGACCCACGTTGAGTCCTACGGGGTCCCAGGACCCCACAGACCTCCACGTAGGATCCTATATATGTTAAGTACTCTGATATTATTAGTATATATATTTAAAAAACCGATTGGACAACGAAAACCAAAGCAGTGCAGTGGAGGTGCGTCTGATATCCGAGATGAGTGATACATATTTCGATTCTTCTCTCCTCCTTAGTTTTGTTCATTTTATTGAGCTCAGTTTTTTTCTTAAGTACTTTACAAATACAATTTTATTGTCATATATTTTACTCCGTATTACTCCTTCTGTTTCCCAAAACCCTTCTTCTTTCATTTTTTTCATTTTTTCTTAAAACACTTCCTCTTTCACATTTTTCCCTAAACTACCCCTAAACCTAATTTTACCCAATCCCCTCTCCCACCTTATCCATCCCATCGTCACAACCCCACGCGTCATCTAGAAAGATCGCCCTTCGTTCCCATGGGGATTCTTCTGATCTCCTCTCCTCACCTTTCTTTTTTCAGATTCGGATCAGCTTCATGGTTGCATCCTCTTCTCTAGATCTGAGCATGCCCTCATTTCGCTTGCTCTCTGATAGCGATGAGAACCAACCTAAGCCTCATCTTACTCAGAAATCTTTGAGCAAGCGCAAACGATCCATAGCTGCCTTGAAACGTCATGTTGATCCGCTTCCATCAAGTTCATCTGACACTGATCCTTCGTGGAATTTCTGGAAAAAATACCTAGGGGGTGAGCATCTCCCAGATGGAATTGAGTGGGGATCAGATCTGGAAGAAGATTCATCAGATCTTGAGTCTTCATTCAACACTGATGAGATTTGAGAAATGAGCTCGGAAACAGAGGTGTTGTTGTCCGAGCCAGTAGGAAGTCCATCCAAAATTGAAAGATATAAACAGAGTAATGTTCTTTAATCTTCTCTCCTTTACACCTTGCGCATATGTCTTGCATGTTGTTTTTGGGCAAACTAATGATGCGAACAAAAATTAATCTTAACTTTTATGAATGTTGCCTAATTGTAACGCCACCCCATTTTTGGTTTGGAGGCTTACAAAGCTCAATTACGGTTAGATGTTTGGTCAGGCATTAGTGAATGTGTTTGTGGAATTTCTTCTGTGTGGCAGTGAAGATTATGTTTCCCTCTTTTGTTATGGTTGTCGTGTGACATGTAAAGCCTGAAATTGGGTTTCTTATTTTGGAATTAAGTCATGATGGATGTGAGATGTGTGGTATATATCCTGTGTGAATATCTGATGCTTTAGTGTCCCTATACTTTGAGCTCTCTTTCTTTAATTGCCTATGATGGATTTTGAATCTGTGGTTTCCTATGTGGTTCACTAAGGAAGTTTGTCCCTAAATGACCTGTGTGCCTTTCTTTGCTGCCTATGATGGGTTAGAAATGTGTTATACCCTATGTGTTCCTTGAGGCAGTTTGTCCCTAAGCTCTCTGAGTCCCTCTCTTTACTGCATATGATGGATTCTGAATGTGTGGTACCCTATGTCATCTCTGAGGAAGTTTGTCCCATGGGTTTGAGGTCCCTTTCTTTGCTGCCTATGATGGATTAGAAATGTGTTATACCCTATGTGTTCTTGAGGCAGTTTGTCCCTAAGCTCTCTGAGTCCCTCTCTTTACTGCCTATGATGGATTCTGAATGTGTGGTACCCTATGTCATCTCTGAGGCAGTTTGTCCCATTGGTTTGAGGTCCCTTTCTTTACTGCATATGATGGCTTTTAAATGTGTGGTATCCTATGTGTTCTCTCTAAGGCAGTTTGTCCCTATGTGTTCTCTGAGTCCCTCTCTTTACTGCCTATTATGGATTCTAAATGTGTGGTACCCTATGTCATCTCTAAGGCATTTTGACCCTTAACAGTTTTTGAATATACAAATGCAAAGAAAAGACTTTTTATAGTCATATAATGATGGTTTTACATATCACATGTAGTACTACATCAGTACAAAATGTATAACACTTGCACCAAAAAACAAAAAATATTGTGCATTTGCAAACCACATGTATTACCAAAAAAATGTACACAAAAACAACTGCCCTTTTCTCTTTTAGTTGTTCATTTCTGAAATTTGGAGCACCTCTTCATACACTTCAGTACTGACTCCCAAGTTTTGTGGAAGTATTCCTTCCCTGGACAGCCTTTCCTTCCCCATGTGAGGTATCTTGAAATTATTTCCTCCTTTATGCCTTAACACCTCACCCATGACTCCTTGATAGGTTAAGAACACATTGTTTAAAACCTGTGGTGTGAGTTGTTCAAAAGCTGTTGTGACAGCATTTATGAGATCCCCCAATGACCTGTGTGCAGTCTTGTTTCATATTGCATCTATTGCCCTAAAGAAGCCAAGGTCAAGAACATTTAAATCTGGGCTATTGGGGGGCTGAAATTGCAACTTAATATCCCAATCACCCTCTTGTGCAGCAGTCACAAAAACTGGGTCATTAATATCAACATGTGGTTTGGCATTATCCTATTGTATGACTACATGCTTAGAACTCTGTGGCCACTTTTCCCTTATTGCTGGTAGTAGTTGATGTACCACTTTTCCCTTATTGCTGGTAGTAGTTGATGGGCTTTGTTTCCATTGTACCAGCAGGCCTATTTTTGCTTGTTCTTTTAGCAGCTTCTTGAAATGTGAATGGAAATATGCCTATTTTCCCATCCCACAGTACCTCACCATCATCCCCAAACCTAGGACGGCCTACAGCAGCCAAAAACATGATTTTGGGAATGTGAGTTTTGGACTGTATGGTTCTATAGGGGTCTGCCTCATCAGGTAAGGTGTAGAAGGTCTTTTTGGGTTTGCTCAACTCAAACCACTTCTCATCAATATGTATATAATCATAACAATGATGGAATGTTGGGTTATTTGGTAGGGATGTGGGAGAGAGTAATGACAAACAATACCTTACCCTTGTTAACTTACCTTCATCACATAGATGAGGTTTAATAGCATTGGAGTGTCTTCTTATTTTTTTCGTCTTCACCATGCATCCTATATGCTGTACTAGTTGACACATTAAGGCAGTGGCTTAGGGCACGTAGGGTTTGCCGTTGGTGTAATGGAATGTCAATCAGCTTTAAAATGTCCAAATTGAAACCTTTTTGCCCCGAGTTGCTTTCCCACCTGCAATCCACATTCACTGCCTGGACCCTATCCATTTGAGCTTTTGCAGCTTTCCATAGCTCTATGACCCAACGAGGAGATATGTTGAATTCATTAGCCACTGTTATCAGTGACCCGTGCAGAAGTTTGCCGTTTTTGAAATTTTGTAATATTGCCTCTATTATTCGCTGCTTTCTTTCGTTTCTTGCTTGCACACCAGAAATACATGCGATGTTGTTTATTTCAGGGGTGTTGAAAGCTTCGAAAGGTACTTCCAATAGTGGAGGCAGGGAGACATCCGCAGAGTCGTCGTTGGCATCTCCAAAACGTGAGGAAGTTGGAAGAGTTGACGGTTCCATCAATGCCAATTGAAGGCAGACAGATTTTATGGAGCATTTATTTTCATTCAAGACATGTTTAGGAAGAGATGAATGCATTTAATGCTTTGGTGTATTTATATTGAGAAGTGGTATTATTAGGTTGGAATATTTGGAGGGCTTTTTAAATTTTTTCCCAAACAAAAAATTTGCAAACTTTCCCTCTTTTGTTATGGTTGTCATGTGAAATGTAAAGAGTTTTGTTGGAGTCATTTAATGCTTCCACTATTCATGACAAGTTAGTCATTATTATCCTCATTATTTTATTCTCACATTTGCTCACCTTTTCTATGTACCCCACGTGAGAGAGAGGGTAATTTGGGAAGGTCTTTGCCAAAATATGGGTTCCTTTTTTGGCTAAAATTCAAAAGAGGAACCCTTTTGGGAAACGGAGGGAGTATATTTCTTCATGCAGTATTTTTTTGTATTAATACCTATTGCTAATTAGAATTTCAATTTAAATGAATACTCGGGGAAATAAATAATTATTAAAGTTTTTCTAATTTGACAATCAAACTATCTAAATGCATCTGCTATTTAAATTAGTTTAGTTTAATTCTTTTATGAGTGCTTTCAAAATTTAGCATAAATCAAAAATGAAATGAGAACCTCCAATCTACTAAAATCCGTAAATCACCTCCATCTTCATACTTTAGTAATAAACAAGCAATACAATGTTGAACGCATTCCCATTGTTACAAGAAAACCTAAAAAAATATGCTTTGCAGTATTAATTTATTTTGAATGTAAATTATTAAAACTTCGAACTTGCACTCTTAGCGTTTGTTTACAATACTGTGGGTTTAGAATATATTGATGCATGCAAAGAGTTTACAATTTGTATTGCGTTTTTACAAGTATTTTTTCTTTAAAAAACCTAAACAAATCTATTTTTTGTTTTATTCGTATTCTTTTTCAATTTACTTCCATTTTTAAAGTGTGATACTGAAGAATTATGGATATGTCTAAATCTTTCGTTCTAATTCGAGGCTTTTGACAAAAAACTCATTTTACCCAATTACTAAATTTTATCTTTAGAAAATTGTCAGATGTATAAGTTAGGACTTCAAAAATTCCATTTGAGAATCATATTTTGAATGTTCATTTAAGTAGTAGGTTTTTTATAGCGTGAGAATAATTACGTGAGGAATTTATTTAAATAACACTAGCTAAAACATAATGACTTTCTCTAAATAGCACCACACATGTTTTTCTTCCCAATGTAGTGTTGGATTTTTAAAAGGAAGAACACTGCGAAGCAGTGTTTAAAGAAGAACTCGATAGTATAACGAATCGCGTATGAAACGCTATCAGATCAAAGTTATTTCAGGGTATACGAAATACTTCAATCGGATAAGACGTTAATCAAGAACGAGCACTCAAGAATCCGATCCTCAACCCATACCACGAGACTCTATTTTATAGAGTCGAAAATCCTTGTGATCGGACATGAACGTTCGCGTAGATGTACGCGTACGTTCGCGCGAGGAAGAAGAGAGGTGCGAGTTTGAACGAAAGGTCTTATGCGGTTTAAGGCTCAATTTCGACGTTTATCCATTGTGTACGAGTCCTTTACCGTTTTGGACTCCGGTCACAAAAATCTTAAGGATTTTCTTAAAAAAACAACGTCTGAAATAAAAAAATTTCCCAGCTGTCCCGGCCAGGGGCTGCCGCCCCTTGGACCCCGCTACCCGGGGGCTGCCTCCCCCGGACCCCACGGTGAATTTATAATATCGTTGAACGAGTGCGCACTCCGCGCCTCCTAACTCGTTTGACAACGTCTATTTAAATTCTTGTCCGATCGAAGTAAATCCAATTACACAAAATAAATTGATGACACTAAAATCACCAACATGTAGCACTTTTAGTCATTATGCATTAGTCATTATTCAAGTAAATATTCGTCATCACTGGATATTATGGACATTATTAAGTTTTATTTAGGGAATAAAACAGTTTAAGTGCTATTTAGAGAAATGTCTTAAGTTTTAGTGTTATTTAGTAGAAATATTTCTAATTACGTTGTATAAATATATGTTCACAATTTAAGAAACAGAACCCCATATTTCCCGATTCCTGGATCCGCCTCTGAAAATGTGATATTGGTTGACTGTAAAATGGACAGATTAAATATTACGAAAATGGCAATAGAAGAAAGACGTACGAGAGGATGAAGTAAAATAAAACGGAGGAAGAGAAGTGTTATATTGGTTTACCGGCACCGCTAGTACGTGTTTGTTCGTCATCGACAATAATACTCCGTATAATTCAAGATAAAGATCAACGAACAGTCAAACACACGAAAAGAAAGAAAGAAAACGTACGCGGCAGAACAAAAGTCTTAGTTTTGAGTTTACGCATGCAATTTGAACGAGTAAAAAAATGCAAATCAACACACTTTAGATAGAACGCAACGGCAATGACCGAGTACGCTATTTTAAATTGCTGCAGCAATACAATTATTATTTGCTGTTTAATTAAAGGACAAAATCGAAATCACATGTACGAAACATATAACACTGCTATTTAGAGTATTTTAAGGGTCTTAGAGTGCTATTTTGGTTTTTCTCCCTTATTATTACTACTACCCCATCTCCGAGTATCTGTCAAGTTTGGACTTTTTTCAGTCAATCATTTTTAACCTTTAATTCATATTTAAATAAAATATATATTGTATATTAATTTTATAAAATAATATTTTGGAAATATTTTATATAATAAATCGAGTAAAATTATTTTTATATCAGTATCTAATATCATTTTTATTTAATTAAGGGTTAAAGTTTACCAATTTTGATCGAAAAAAATTCAAAAGTGAACAAATACTCCGAGACAGGACGAGTATTATCTTTTTAAGCCCTGATTTTGAAGCAGCCGGAGTGGAGATGGTTGTGGTGGTGGTGTTGGGAAGTAGTCTCCTTATGTATGATGCCCTCGACTTGTCGAAACTCCGCGACGTGGCATGGGATGGTGATGGGGCCATTGTGGCTGAACCCGTACTCCTCCTCAGCTTCCTTCAACAGACTCAGGAAAAGGGGGTGGTTGACGTAGATGACCGGGATGACGAATCGCTGCTGCTCCCGCCCTTGCCCCACCATCACCGCCACACACCCTCTCGGTACATCCTTTAGATCATCATCACCACCGTCCTTCTCGTGGTGATGAATTTGACAAAAGTGGCCGAGGTGGTAGTGCTGGCGGTGGTGGTGGATCTTCATCTCCCAGCTAATAATTAATAACGAGGGTGAATGATCGACGACTCACGTACGAACTCTTTTGATTTCGTTTAACGCCGACGGTAGGAGATCAAATCATGAAAGAAGTGTATGTACGTAGTATGAGATTAATAATTAATCAAGGGAGATGGGTTAGAAGGAATTAGAAGATGAGTACGTAGAGGATAGAGAAAGGCCAGGGGTCGGAGGCGGCGGAGATGGTGAGATTGAAGAGGGTGAGAGAGGCCTCGGTGAGAGATCTGGGAACGTCGCCGCTCATGATCGATCTCGAATGTTTGTTGTTAATGGATGGTGAAATTGGGTTTGACTTTGAGGGAATTGATCGAGAGGGGTTCTTTGAATTACATATATATAGCTAGGCGCCCGGCTTGGGCGAAGGATCGGGCTGGGTGGGAGGGAGGGCCCGGTTGGGGTCAACTTGCATGCGATGCTTGTGGGAATCATCTTATTATCGATTGCTTTGCGTTTTTTTCAAGTCCAAAAGGGGGACGGACGGAGGGTGCGCGTTTGGCTTTTGGCTACTTGATGGATTTCCGTACAAATCATTCTTCATTATAGAATTAAATTTTTATGTAATCATTGATGATAATAATAATAGAATTAACTAATGAAATCGAATCTGAAAGATTTTGGTTTACGGATACAACTCACCTATTATTCTCTCAAGTAAATTCCATAACTAATCATTTATAACATGTATGTTTTCAATTTACTCATTTATTATCAAACAAATTGTTCTTTCTTTAATCTTGTGTCATATTGATATTAATTTAAAAGCTAAAAGTATAATTTGTCATTAATTTTATGTTCAGTGACATATTCTGATATTGGTTAGACGAATAACACAAAAATAGTGACTATAATTGTGAGCTAGAATTCCAAAGAAAGACCGCATTTATATACTATGCTTATACTATAAAGTTACTGTAATTCACAAACGATGCATCAGGAGTGGTTTTTGAAATTGTGTATTACAAGAAAGATATATTATTATTGTGAAATTACACTTTTAGCCCTCCAATTAACACCAACATTGTGGAAGATCAAAAGGTACTATTTCTGAGAAGATACTCATAAAAGAAAAACCATCGGGGTAATATTTCATAATAGAGAATTAAATAGGAAAACTCTCATGTAATGAAGGACCAGTTATGAAATTTACTTTATTCTTCCCATCGAGAATATTTATCCTATTTTGATTTTTTGAAGTCAAATTAAATTTATCATTGACTTATAATTAAATAAAAAACATAATATATTTTTTTAAAAAAATATTTTGAAAATATTTTTACTAGATAAATCTAGTAAAATGAGATATATTCACAAAGATTTTAGGTGGGATAAAATATCGGAATACAATATCACCTTGAATGAATTTGTTAATGCCAATGTTTTTATAGGTTTTAATAATGACAAACTGCCGTGAATATAAAAAGAAATGCAAATATTCAAAGGCGATAAAAGAACAAAAAGCACAAGAAAGACATTGAAGATTTGAGGTCAAGACTATGACATTAGATTGAATTTATAAATAAGTGCGATTAATATCTTTTAATCTTGTTTTAAACAATTTTTTTGCATCAAAATATATTTTTTCAAGCATAAAAAATATTTTCTAAAGTGGTTTTCAAAACCCACAAAATATTTTGGGGTAGTTTGTTTTTTATTTTAATCTTGTACATTTGTTAGGTTTTCTTAAAATCCCCCAAACATCTATACCATAAAAGGTAATTGATTTTTACTTTTTAGCATATTTTTCGAAGACCAAACCTGGTCAAGTTTTCTTATAACCAAGTCAAACATCGAATACCAAATTTCGTAATCAATGTTCAGCTGGTTTTTGGTCCTTAACTTTTCGTCTTTTACTTGTGTCACGGACTTGGTCGTAATTCCAACGAACCGTGCGACCTAGCGAACTTCCTCTACAAGTTGCTAGTCAGCCTACTCTCAGACTTAGCGGAATATCGAGATGCTAAGTATGAAGGAACTCGGACTCAAAGAAAGAACTTTGTATTACTTTCTCTCTCTAAAGTTAATGCTTCTCACTTCTTGAGTGAGTGAAATGAATGAGGAGGAGGGGGATTTATACTCCTCCACCTCCTCAATGGACGACTAAAATCTATTTGATCTAACGGTTACACTCGAGTATCTAGAATACTCTATACAAATATCTAAGATATTTACAAGGTTACATGATACCTCTACACTACTCCATAATGTTCCAGAACCTTCCAAGCATCTCTAGCAAGTCCACCATCTTTCTAGAGAATTCCTTAGTCTTCTAGATTAAGGCGGATATCTCTGGACAGTTCTTCGGACGGATCTGGACATCTTCAAATGGATCGGGTCGGGTTTGGGTTTTGAGCCTCTGCTAATTTTGGGGCAAACAGAGCAGTGCGTCACATTCTCCCCCACTCAATGTGGCGACGTCCTCGGCGCATCACTCTTGTATGCCTCAATCATTTCCTTATAATCCCATAAAGCAAGCTCATGTTCCCCAACTCGCCTCACTATCGTGAGATCCTTTCCATCTGACAAAGTACTCAGTATAACTTGGGTGGCTCCCCCGTCTCGGTATAACTCGGTGTGCAAGAATCTCTTCAACTTCTCATCTTGGCACCATAGTTATAGCTGTAGGTGCTCTTTTTGACTCACCTCGACTTGGATCATCCTTATCCTCGTTGAATGGTTTAAGCAGGCTCACATGAAAAACGAGATGCATCTCCAAGTGTGAAGGTAAAGTCAAGCGATAGGCTAGCTTACCAATACACCTCTCGATAGGAAAAGGCCCCTCATAGCGCCTTACTAGCCCTTTATGTACCTTGGCAAACCGTCGGCTTTGATGAGGAAGGAGCTTCACCATCACTAAGTCACCTTCCTCAAACTCTAAGTGTCTTCTCCTAGCGTCGGCCCACCTCTTCATCTTCTTCGCAGCTTTCGGTAAGTAAGCCCTTGCTATGTCGGTTTGCTCATGCCAACCCTTAGCAAATTTGAAAGCCGAAGGACTTGGTCCTTTGTAGCCGATCGCTAAAGTGTGTGGAGTTAACGGTTGTTGTCCCGTGGCTAACTCGAACGGACTTGCCCTAGTTGATTCACTCTTCTGCAAGTTGTATGAAAATTGGGCGATGTCCAAGAACTTGGTCCAATCCTTCTGGTTGGCACTTACATAGTGCCTCAAGTATAACTCAAGTAGAGCATTCACCCTCTCGGTCTGGCCATCGGTCTGGGGGTGAAAGCTTGTGGAAAAGTTAAGTTTGGACCCCATGATTTTGAATAACTCCATCTAAAATCTTCCCGTGAAGCGAGTGTCCCTATCGCTCACTATAGTCTTCGGGATTCCCCAATACTTCACCACGTACTTGAAAAACAGCCTAGCAGCATCCTCGGCGGTGAACTTGGTTTGGACTGGTATGAACACCCCATACTTGCTGAATTGGTCCACCACGACCATAATATTGCTGCATTCTACCTTCTGACTTTGGCAAACATGTGATGAAGTCCATGGAGATACTTTCCCATGGTCTTTCGGGAATCGGCAATGGTTCTAGCAAACCAAGAGTGGGACGTTTTTCTACTTTGTCTTGTTGGCACACAAGGCAAGTCTTCACGTAAGCTCCATGTCATCTCTCATTTGGGGCCAAAAGTATGTTCGCTCGATGAGTGCCATCGTGCGTCGAACTCCGGGGTGACCAGCCCACCTCGAGTCATGGCACTCCTTGATGATCTCCTTCTTTAAGCCTTGCCACTTCGGAATATATACTCGATTTCCTTTGGTGATGAGCACCCCGTCTTCAAGCCAAAACCAGCGTGTCTTCCCCTGACTCGCCAACTCCTTCAGATTCTTGGCTTGCGGATCTTGCTCTAGTCCCTCCTTGACACGATCCACCAAAGGGAAACTTGGACTAGTGATGGAGGCAAGTTCGGCCTTCCTGCTTAGTGCGTCGGCCACAACGTTTCCCTTGCCTGGCTTATACTCCATCACAAAGTCAAACTCGGCTAAGAAGGCTTGCCACCTTACCTGTTTTGGTGTCAGCTTCTTCTACTTAAGGAAGTAGCTCGTGGCGACATTATCGGTCTTCACAACGAACTTGGTGCCCAACAGGTAATGTCTCTACGTTCTCAAACAATGCACCACGGCCGTCATCTCCTTCTATTGGACCGTGTAGCGCCGTTCTGCATCATTAAGCTTACGACTTTCTTGCCTAGGACTCCTCCTTAGGCAAAGTCTGAGGCATCGGTCTGCACTTCGTACGGCTTGGTGTGGTCAGGTAGGGCCAACACCGGTTCCTTGATCACTGCTTCCTTGAGTTCTTCAAAACCTGTTTGACACTTGTCATCCCAATCCCATGGTCGATTCTTCTTGAGAAGATCGGTGAGTGGAGCAGTTATTGCCGAATAGCCCTTAATGAATTTTCAATAATAGTTGGCCAACCCAAGGAAAGAATGAAGTTCTGTAACCTTCCTCGGTGCCTCCCATTCTTATATAGCACATACCTTGGACTCATCCATACGTAGTTTGCCCCCTCCAACAATGTGCCCTAAGAAAGTGACTTCCTTTTGAGCAAATGCACATTTCTCTTTCTTCACGTACAACTCGTTCTCCTTGAGTACTTGGAAGACTTGTCTCAAATGCTTCACATGTTCCTCCAACGTGTTGCTGTAGATGACAATGTCGTCCAAGTATACTACCACGAACTTATCTAAGAACGGTTGTAGGACTCGGTTCATGAGGGTGCAGAATGTTGCTGGTGCATTCGTGAGTCCAAAGGGCATCACAAGAAACTCGTATGAGCCATACCTTGTTACACAAGTTGTCTTAGGCTCATCCCCTTCGGCTATCCTCACTTGATAGTAGCCTGACCTCAAGTCCAACTTGGTAAACCATCGTGCTTGTCCAAGTTGATCGAATAAATCAGCAATGAGCGGGATCGGATACTTGTTCTTTACCGTGATCTTGTTGAACGCCCGGTAGTCGATACACATTTGAAGCGAGCCATCATGCTTCCTTTGAAATAGAACCGGTGCTCCATATGGTGCTTTGGATGGACGTATGTACCCCATGTCCACCAACTCCTTCAATTGCCTCCTAAGTTCCTCGAGTTCTGGAGGCGCCATGCGATATGGGACTGCTGCAGGCAGAGTGGCACCAAGTACCAACTCTATCTTATAATCCACCTCCCTCTTTGGTGGCAACTTCTTGGGCAACTCGGGCGGCATCACGTCCTTGAAGTCCTCTAGGACGAGATCGACACTCCTTGGGAGAACTTCGGTAGGTGGAGCGACTTCTTCTTCCTTCAAGGCAACGAGATACCTGGGTTGCTGCTTCTTTACACCCTTGGAAAGTTGCATCGCCAAAATATGCTTTTCTCGGAGTCGGGCTTCTCGCTCTAGTGGTACTAGACGAGTGTTGCCTTCTTCCAGGATACACATGGTGTTTGCGAAGGGGATCGGAATGGCCTTGACTTTGTCCATGAACTCCATACCCAAAACAATTGGATAATCGTCCATGGTTACAACGGAGAAGTTTATTGGGCCGTGCAAATATCGTAAGCTTACCTTGACATCTCGAGCAACTCCAAAGGTAGCCATCGGCTTTGAATTGACTTCCTTGAGCCAGCCACGTTCTCCTTGGGAATCATTGTCCAGCTTTCTTGCCTCTTCTTCTCTTAGAAAGTTGTTGGAAACACCCGTGTCTACAAGAGCTTTCGCGGTGTATCTTCCAATCTTTGCTTCTACGAACAATCGGCCCTTCTTGCCGGTCTTCGGCATCTCTACCTTTGCCTTGATTGCGTTGAGGAGTTGTAGGGATCCTACCCTCTCCTCTTCACGTTCTTGCTCCTCCCTTTCTTCAATCAATGCCGAGAGTTTTGCCTTTTTTGGGCACTCCTTTTCCCGATGAGGACCCTCACAAAAGAAGCACTTTAGTGGAGGTCTCTCACCATCCTTGTACTCCTTGGATACCCTCGTCTTCTCGGTTGTTTCTTTGCCTCGGTGGTGGTCTCCCCCACTTTTTCCCTTGCCGCCCTTATCCTTTGGCTTTGATTTTTCAGGCTTCTTGAACTCGATAAGGGATTCGGAAATTGAAATGGCAGTGGTTAAGTCTTGAGCCCCACGTCTTTGAAGCTCAAGTCTAGCCCATTGCTGCAACCCATCCATAAAGGCAAAGAAAGCTTCTTTATCAGGGTAGTCTGGGATTTCAAGAAGTACCTCGGTGAACTCCTTCACGTATTCCCGTATGCTTCCTTTATGTTGAAGTCGCCTTAACTTTCCCTGGGCCTTTTCTTCTACATTACTAGGGTAGAACTGTTTCTTGAGTTCACTCCTGAACTCGGCCCAAGTGTCTATGGTGCACGTCCCTTTCTCCATATCTCCTTGTCTCCTTCTCCACCACACCATGGCAGTGTCCTCAAGAAAGAGACTTGCCATATCAACTTTCCGTTTTTCTTCGGAAATGGCAAGAGCTCGGAAATATTGCTCCATGCTCCATATGAAGTTATCAAGTTCCTTCGCATTCCTTGACCCTTTGTAGGATTTGGATCGTGGAATATCTAACTTGGAAGGTGAAGCCCTTACCTCGGACGTTGATGGACTACCTTGTGCAAGAGCCTTCTTGCACAGCACGAGCTCCTCCTCGGCGCTCTCTAACTTGCGCGAGACTCTCTCGAGCTCTTCTCGTATTGAAGAAACCTCGACCTTATGAGACTCTTCCATGGCCTTGATTTGATCAAGACATTGGGCGAGGACTTTGTTCATGGAACTCATGCATGCCTTGCCCCACCTCCTTGAACTTCTCCTCCCCATTGGCGATAGCAAGTTCCACCCTTGCTAGCCTTGTCTCGAAACCGTCCATGGTCGCCCTTGAGCGAGATCTCTGGGTCTTGGTCTTCTTCTCGCCTCCCTTGGTCACGTGGGTAGTCTCACTTCCACCTTCCATCTTCCTTCAAACCTTGTGCTCTGATACCAATTGTCACGGACTTGGTCGTAATTCCAATGAACAGTACGGCCTAGCGAACTTCCTCTACAAGTTGCTAGTCAGCCTACTCTCATACTTAGCGGAATATCGAGATGCTAAGTATGAAGGAACTTTGTATTACTTAATTTCTCTCTCTAAAGCTTACAATGCTTCTCACTTTTTGAGTGAGTGAAATGAATGAGGAGGAGGGGTATTTATACTTCTCCACCTCCTCAATGGACGGCTAAGATCTATTTGATCTAACGGTTACAACCGAGTATCTAGAATACTCTATACAAATATCTAAGATATTTACAAGGTTACATGATACCTCTACACTACTCCATAATGTTCCAGAACCTTCCAAGCATCTCTAGACAGTCCCCCATCTTTCTAGAGAATTCCTTAGTCTTCTATATTAAGGCGGATATCTCTGGACAGTTCTTCGGACGGATCTGGACATCTTCAAACGGATCGGGTCGGGTTTGGGTTTCGAGCCTCTGCTGATTTTGGGGCAAACAAAGCAGTGCGTCACACTTGGCACTTGGTGTTTGACCACTTTGACCCTCTTTCAGCTTTGTTTGTCGAACGTGAATTTTTAACCTAACACCCACCACCCATCGATCGAAAACTAGTTTTGGTAACCTTCAAAGTTTTTAAAATTGTTTTGGTCTTGGTTTTTGAAAATTGGCTTATAAACCTCAAACCCGACCAAACATTGAATATTACCTTTGGTAATCGATGTTCTCCAACTTTTCCTACGAAGTGGCTTTCTAGTATGTTTTCAGCATCGATGTTCATTTAGAACGTAGATGTTTGTTGGTCTTGACAGTTGCCCTTCATTTAAGAGTTGACCATTTACTTTAATTTATACTGAGTCAACCATCAGAATATCGATGTTGGTGTTAGACAATGCGTGCAACTCTAGAGGGGGGTGAATAGAGTTGTTGAGAATGATTACCGTTTTTCGCAGGATTTATAATATAAATGTAAGTGCAGCGGAAATAAAAGAGAGAAGACAAAGAACACACTGATGTATACTGGTTCACCACCTCGTGGCTAGTCCAGTTCCCCGAGAAATACTCTCGAAGCTACCACTACTTCCGTTAAGCTTACGGGTGCTTAACATACCGTTTACAACTCGAGAACTTGAATCCCACAAGCCTCGACACAACCGCTCGTAGATATGCCCTCTACAAGACTTCACAACCAAGACTTAAGTCACATAAGTCTTGTACAACAAGAAGAACAATCTTCTTCAACCTCTCAACATAAACTCTCACAAGATTAGAAATGAGAAATGATTAAAGCTCTAATGGATGACAAAACACTCTCTTGAAAACACTTAGTTTTCTCTCAAAATATATCAATTTGAGGAAGAATTGAATGGAGGATTATAACCTGAAGATAGGGATGTTTTGGAGTGCTTGTTCATATATAAAAATGACCAAGGAGTGAAGTTTATAAAGGGGTTGAAGAAATATGTCCGTTGGAGCTTAGAAAAAAGGTGTTCTGCTGAAAAATACCAAAAAATCGATTTTTTAAAATAAATAATCGATTTTTTTGTTCTGCCCAAAATTTCTTCAGCGGACGAAATGAAAATCGATTTTTTCCAAAGTGTAAAAATCGATTTTTGAAGCAATTGTGCCCAAACATAAAGTACACAATCATGTGTGCGAGGTGAAGTGCTATTTTGGATTAAAGCACTTGTTTAGGGCATGAAAATCATATCAATGGGCTAACCCAATCAACAAATACAATTCAAATTCAAATTTGAATTATGAGTGTATTTTTGGTGTAGAAAAATGAGTCCCAAAAATATTTTGTGTGTCAAATAGTTAACACGAAAATATTTGAATAAAAATATCAAAATAAATGTTTGACACACCTTTTGTAACTGACTCAATGAATGTATTTTGAACAGTTAAAAGGATTTTTCAACTGACTCCAAAAATATATTATTTTTATATTAACTCTCATAAAAATAATTTTGGAGAGAAAATATTTTTGTCATCCTTACAATAATCCTAAGACTCAAATAAATTAAAAGGTCTTCGGAAATCTTCTACTCCTCCGAGTCCTCCGTTAGGCGCTCCGAACGCGTCTCGGATTCCAATAAAATCATGTGCAGCTTCTTGAATAATTCAAGGAATTTGCACTTCAAGACTTCGTGTTTGTTGTTGTAGCACTTTGATCTTGACTTGGATAAATTGTGTTTGTCAATTATCAAAACCTGTGAGTCAACACTTAAAACACAGAAAGGGTTGAACTCATGCATTCAAACAATTTCCCCTTTTTGATAATGACAAACACATGGAGGATATGTTACCAACAAATAACAAATTAAAGCATATGCTCCTATACTCTTCCCCCTTTTGGCATTATAAAAAATAATGCAACAAAAAAACTCATGCATTCTGGGGAGAGAAAAAATCTAAACATTTAAGAAAAAGCACATTCCCCCTAAAATCATGCATTTCTAGGAAATAAAAATATTTCCCCCTAAATGTATGCTATCTCTCCTTTAAAAAAGTAAAGCATACAAAAAGATTAACACATATAGCAATAAATTCCCCCTTACTATATGCAAAACATCCTATATATATTCCCCAAATATATTCACATAAATTCATTAAAAGAAATTACGTAAACACTCCCCTTTGATGCAATTTCTTTGGCTAAATGCTTGGAGCATCCACTACAAATTTGTAGTCTTCATGCACACCTTTCAAGTGCGTCACGTACCCGACCACCCTTCTTGTTCATCAAGAGCGATGAGGAAATCGTCTTTGGAAGGTTGATCATACTTCCACGAAAAATACGCGAATTCATCTTGTTTTCTCATCTTCTTGAGCTTTGGGCACTCAAATTTTCGGTGGCCAAGCTTTCCGCACTTGTGACATTTGGGGTGTTTTTCTTCTTGCTCCTGTTTAGCTCATGTTTCAAAAACTCGTTAAAACATTCAACCAAAATATCATAGGAAGTGCCAGAATCACTATCACTATCCGAATCCGAATCACCAATCTCTACTTTTTGAGAAGAAGATCCTTTAAAAGCAATTCTCGTTCTCTTCTTAATGTCAAGAGTATGAGAAAGATGATTTGTTTCGTAAGTGAGAAGGTTACCTCAAAGATCGTCGTATGTGATGACGTTGTAATCTCGGCCTTCGTAAATGGAGTTAACCTTCGACTCCCATTCCTTGGTAAGACTTCGTAGAATTTTCCTCACTAACTCCTTGTCGGTGAAAGTCTTTCCCAGCATATCGAGGTCATTGATAATGTTTGAAAATCTTCCAAACATGTCCTCCACAAGCTCGTTCTCTTTTATAGCAAATAACTCATATTCATGGGTTAGAAAATCAATTTTTGATTCACGAACTTGAGTCGTACCTTCGTATGTGATCATGAGCTTGTTCCACGTTCGGTTGGCGGTTTGGCACTGAGAAATCTTTTGATAGTCGTTGGCGTTGACAGCACAATATAAGACATTGATGGCGGTGGCATTCAATTAAGCCTTCTTTAAGTCGGCTTCATCATATTCATCCTCGTCCTTTGGGATGAGTATATATCCTATCTTCTTCATTGGCAAGCTATCTCCATTCTTGATAACAAGCCAAATTTTGAAGTCATTTGATTGGACAAAGATCCTCATCCGCTCCTTCCAATAGGAGTAATTTGTTCCATCAAAAAATGGTGTTCTTACGGTGGATTGCCCTTCTCTAATCCCTGCGTTCAACATTCTCAAAAAAATTTGATCGTTTTCTCAAACGTCAAAGGAGCGTTAGAGATACCTGCTCTGATACCAATTGTTAGACAATGCGTGCAACTCTAGAGGGGGGTGAATAGAGTTGTTGAAAATGATTACGTTTTTCGCAGGATTAATAATATAAATGTAAGTGCCACGGATATAAAACAGAGAAGGCAAAGAACACACCGATGTATACTGGTTCACCACCTCGTGGCTAGTCCAGTTCCCCGAGAGACTCTCTCGAAGCTACCACTACTTCCGTTAAGCTTACGGGTGCTTAACAAACCGTTTACAACTCAAGAACTTGAATCCCACAAGCCTCGACACAACCGCTCGTAGATATGCCCTCTACAAGACTTCACAACCAATACTTAAGTCACATAAGTCTTGTACAACAAGAAGAACAATCTTCTTCAACCTCTCAACATAAACTCTCACAAGAGTAGAAATGAGAAATGATTAAAGCTCTAATGGATGACAAAACACTCTCTTGAAAACACTTAGTTTTCTCTCAAAATATATCAATTTGAGGAAGAATTGAATGGGGGATTATAACCTGAAGATAGGGAAGTTTTGGAGTGCTTGTTCATATATAAAAATGACCAAGGAGTGAAGTTTATAAAGAGGTTGAAGGAATATGTCCGTTGGAGCTTAGAAAAAAGGTGTTGTGCTGAAAAATACCAAAAAATCAATTTTTTTAAATAAATAATCGATTTTTTTGTTCTGCCCAAAATTTCTTCAGCGGACAAAATGAAAATCGATTTTTGCCAAAGTGTAAAAATCGATTTTTGAAGCAATTGTGTCCAAACATAAAGTACACAATCATGTGTGCGAGGTGAAGTGCTATTTTGGATTAAAGCACTTTTTTAGGGCATGAAAATCATATCAATGGGTTCCCCAATCAACAAATATAATTCAAATTCAAATTTGAATTATGCGTGTATTTTTGGTGTAGAAAAATGAGTTCCAAAAATATTTTGTGTGTCAAATGGTGAACACGAAAATATTTGAATAAAATATTTTTGCTTTCCAAAAATATTTTATAATATCAAAATAAATATTTTGATAAATGTTTGACACACCTTTTGTAACTGACTCAATGAATGTATTTTGAACAGTTAAAAGGATTTTTCAACTGACTCCAAAAATATATTATTTTTATATTAACTCTTATAAAAATAATTTTGGAGAGAAGATATTTTTGTCATCCTTACAATAATTCCTAAGACTCAAATAAATTAAAAGGTCTTCGGAAATCTTCTACTCCTCCGAGTCTTCGTTAGGCGCTCCGAACGCGTCTCGGATTCCAATAAAACCCTGTGCAGCTTCTTGAATACTTCAAGGAATT